CTGCCGAATTTTGAACAATAACTCTCTTTTCTCGCTATTTTTATTTTACTGATCAAAAATGTGCTACAAAAATTTTTGTTAAAAAAAATTCTCTCTCATAAATTTCCTAAATCCTAATTTAATAACATTTTGATAAAATATTGTTTACGTTTGAGAAAAAAATTCCAAATTTATAAAAGAAAAAAAATATTAAAAAGAAAATAGCTATAAATGCATTTTTAACATTAATTTACATAAAATATAAATTGCATATTTATTGGCGCATGCTAAAATATTCAATTTTTTATGACAACAAAAAAAAATTTTTTTTTCACATTAAAAATAAATTTGAATAAATTTTTTACATAATTTCTCTCTCTCCCTCTCCCTCTCTCTCTCTGACTCTTATTTTTCTTTTCCTAAATAATTTCTATCTCATCTAGTTCACTCTTTTACTTTTTTTTTTGGTTTTTTCTTTTTATCATCTCATTTCGTATACTTTAGATTGTACTTAATTTGAATAATGATAATTTAAATGAAATCTCGCCAGTCTGTCAAAGCAATCTAGATAATATGACTTTAATGATAATTTAAAACGACAAAATAATAATAATAAGGATAAGAGTGGAAAAAAGTAAAAGCAAAAAGAAAACAAACAAATTATAATAAAAATTTTAAAATTATTGTAATAATTTTTAAGGATATTTTAATAAAGATTTTATACTCTCCAGCTAGACTGTTATTGTCAGGTTGAATGGAATTTTAAAAATTTTTTTTTTTTTTTTTAATGAATGAGTCTAAATATTAACAATAGGAAATTTTAATTAGTTTTGTCTCAATGAGTTTTATAACGCGAGCAGAATTGCTTTTTATCTCCTCTCTTATTCTCTATAATTCAATTAAGATGACAATATTACATATATTAATTGAATTGAATTATAAAATAAAAGAGAAAATGAAGGGAAATAAAAAATTAATTAATTTCTTCTTCATTATTATTGTTTTGAATTATTTCAGATATGAATTTATTATGGTTATTCTTAAGTTTAAGATCCAATAACAATAATCACGATGTTAATGAGAATCATAACGATTTATCTCAATAGTTTAGAGAAAATTTTCATCTCATTTAAAATATTTATGATAATGCGTTTTTGGATTTTGGCAAATTTAATATTCATTTCAAATTTTCTCTATAATTTATGAAATTAACTGTGAAACGTCTTAATAACGAACAGTTCAAACTCAATTTTTTAACTAACTTCACAACTAACATCCATTCTCTTAAGAGAAAATTTATTCGCTTCTCTCAAACTAACAGTGTTGAAATAAGTAATTAAGAGCAAAAAAAAATTTATTTTCATTGGAAGCATCAGTTTTATTGAGTCGAACTTCACACTGAATTTGGTTCACAAATCATGTCATACTGTTTGTATAATATCATACAGTAAGAGCAATGCAATCATACAATACACATTAATTTAGATATGTAATCAAAAACAAGTGAATGAGTTTCATTAGAAGCATCAGCTCAATCGATTCGAGTCTGACACTGAATTTAATTTACAAACCATGTCAAACCGTTTGTTTATCATACATACATAACAATACAAGCACACAACATACAGAAATTTAGTAAAGTAATTAAGGACAAGAGAATGTGTTTTCAGTAGAAGCATCAGTTTAATCGATTCGAGTCTGACATTGAATTTAATTCTCAAATCATGTCATACTAATTTTGTATGTCATACAAAATAAATAATACAATCAAACATCACACATCAACAAACAGCAATATCTTCATATTAATCTTCTTTTGACTGTTAATCATCATACCATTTGCGAAACAAAAATAAAATTGAACTGAAAAACCTTTAAAATTTTCCCTTTCAAACGTTTACACTTTTGATTTTACTGTTATTAAATTTTGGCTCAAATTTTGTTTGAAAGCCTTTTATTCACTTTTGTTTTTCAAATTTTTTTTTTTGAATCCTGTTCCCCAAAAATATTCTTCTATTAAGTCGAATCATCTGTGTACACTTTTGATTTTATTCCAAAATGTCCTTGGTTTTTTCATTTGGTTTTTTGCCGAAACTCTCAACTTAATTTTATGTGAAAAAGGAAGCGCATTGTATAGGGCTCCTATTTTTATTACTCAAACATTATTTTATATATAAAAAATTTTTTAAAAGTGATGATAAAAGGGATAAATTGGGTGAAATTCTTTTGTTTTTTCATTTGTATGAGAAATTTATAAAATAAATATTTTTCTATAAAATTTGTAATGAGTGTAAAAGACTTGCGTTTGTATGTGTAAAAAAAAATATGTACACGAATATAAAGATAGGATAAGGATAATAATATCGCCGTGGGAAAAAAAGGAGTTTTTTTTATGATTATTTCTTTGTTCTCGTTGTTTTGCTATTTTTTTTCTCTGTGTTTTTTTATGTAGGGATTATGGCCTTGTATACAACAATGCAAGGATTATTATTTTTTTTGTTGTCTTTTCCCTTTTGGTAACTATTGTTATTGTCATTTTTATTGTTTTCGTTCTATTTTTTGTTTTTTTGTGTACATAACATTTTTATGACCATAAGGGAAATCTTCTTCATGTTAGTTAAAAAAATATATAGGCAACAATTTCGCTTACATGTAATTTAAGTTTGAGTTTTTTTTTTCCAAAAAAAATTATTTTTTTCGTACTTCTTATGTTTCCAGGAAAAACTAAGAGCTTTTTTTTTTGGACATAGTTTTAATTTTTCTTGCTTGCTTTTTTATTTTTAGTTTGTCATCTTTGTGCCCCAGTTTTCAGTTTAATTTTAGGTTTTTGAAAAACTCAAAACTATAATTTCTGAAAAAAAACTAAAATAAAGTGGCAATAATTCAGGGAGAAATGTTTCTGTAATAATGTAGGCAGATTTTATGCAAAAGAATAAAATTAATATCCTTTTTTTCTTCTTGTTGGCTTTATGTTTCGCCTTCCTTCCATTTCATTTAAATGTATGGTTAGTTTGTAAGTTGAATTCATGTTCTTCTTGTTTCTCACATCATGTTCATGTCGAAGGATTATTATGTGGTGTTAAATATATTATTGTACATGGGATTAAAGTATTAGTAAAGAAAACTAAAAAGAAAAGCCAGAAAGTTATTTATAATTTTTTTTTGTTTGGAAAAAGTTTGGGTTATTTATAAAAAAACGACAAAACAACAGTAGATTTTCTCTGAGTGTATACAGGGATAAAGGAGAAAAACCCCTAGATAGTTAATATGTTAATCACTTAAAACTGGACTTTTGAGTTATAGTAAAGTTGAGGCTTTGTAAACAAAACAAAAATTATTATAAAAACGTGATTCTCTTGATGGCACTTAATTGAGTTGTTTTTGGAAAATAAAGAAGAGAAATCCCTTAATTCATTTTTAACTTCAATAACATTAAAATTTATTGTTACTAGTTTTTAAAATAAATTTTCTTAATCTTTTAAGTTATTAAAATACAAATTAGTTATAAATGATTTGTTACTGAGGTCGATTTGAAATATATTGCAAAATTTGTGCTATTCAGGCAATTAGAGCTTTATTTTGTTGAATAAGCCGTTTAAAACAGACGACTAAAATTTCTGCATTTGAAAAAATTCTACTCTGTAATTTCCGGAGATAATCAAGAAAGTATAGCAGAATATGATCCTTTGTTGGAAAAACGAATTCAATTGATCTTTGTGATTAGAATTCGGAACAAAATTTCAAACCATCAATTTAACAAACATTTTAAAATAAAGGCATATCGCATGACTACATTCTATAATTCACTATTTTTTAAGCTCTTTTGAAAATATTTTTCGATTTTCATTAGATTTTCATTAGTACCGCATATTACTATGTTTGCAAAATTTGATTGCAACCGAAGAGAGACTGACACTTTTGCCACACCGAAAAATTTTAATTATGACAATTTATTGGATCATACCCCACTTTTTGAATTTATTGGATAAAAGTTAAATTATGTATATCAAAATTTCCATTTATTTCTTAAATTTCAGTTTATTTCCATCCCCATTTCGAGCTGTAAAATTTCAGGAAGAAATAAGTATACAATAAATATGGCAGAAATTTAAATATTGTACTTAAATACCGCAGTTTTAGACTATTAATAATAGTTGAACAATAGATGAATTTCACCTATGAATAATTAAACCACCGAACAAATATCTCTGAAATCAAAACTAACTTTGAGAACAACGACAAATGTTTCTACTGAATTTTTTAATGCAAACAGAACAATGTCAATTATCATTTTTAACGCAATTAATGCGCTTGAATTAATAAAGTTTTCAAAGACAACGTCATCTATGATCTAAATAATAAAAATTAAATTTTATTTTTCATACTCTATACATTATAAAACAAAATTAAATTGTAATTGTTCATCTTGTTCTCGAATTAAATGCAAAAATACAAAGATTTTTAGAATCAACAGGATTTTTCGAATTATTTTTATTTATTTTGTATTTTTCTCTTCTTCTTTTCATGTGTTTAACCCAATTTCATTTTGCTATTCTCCAAAACCCAAAAACAAACCTATTTTTAATACACTGAATTAAAATCATAAGTGACATTTTGTGGCACGGAATGATTGAATATAGAAAGGATCAAATTTTCATCAAATTGAATTTATTTTAATTTTAACATCTACTTTAAATAATTGAATATTATCTAAAAAATTTTTATAATAAAATTTTCCCCTTTAAAAACGAAACACGTACCCATGTACACTGTTATACTCAAATATAAGTATTTCAAATGCATATCTCAACATAAAGTATTATGAACTCATTTTTAAAATTGAATTAAAATAGAAAATTTTCAATTTCATCTCATATGTGTATGTATATTATATGTATATCATAATTAAGCATTATATAGTATATATAGTAAAATAAATCCTTAACACTATAATAATAATAATAACGAGATATGGAGGGAGAAAATAAATTTTTTAATAATTATATTATTATTATACTTACCTAACGGTAATTAATCCTGATATAATATCTCTACCATATTCATTATATTGCCCACATTCATATCGTCCTGCATCAATTTCTGTTATATTTTTAATATATAAGCTTCCTGTTGAACTAATTTGATATTTATTCACATTTGTATCATTTGTTATGAAACGTCCATCTTTACGCCATTTTATCTAATAATAATAATAATAATAATGATGAATATAGGAGGAATTATATAAGGATAATAATATAATTAACGTAACCTTAATTAGCTTAAAAATATTTTTATATAAACTCATATATAAAATGAAGGTATTTGAAAATTCAATTCGCATGAAATTAAAAATATAAACTGAAGGATCACTAATAAATATTAAAAAGCAAATATATATATATATATATATATATATATATATTTTTTTTTAATTAAATATAGAATTGTGCAAATAATTGCAATAATGATTTTTTCATTTTATTAATTATTTTTAATAATATTTTGGTGAATATTTCAGTGAAAATTATTTTAATATTGAGGGTAATAATTGTAAGTTCATTAATGAATTTGTACTTAACATGTTTACAAAATGCTAAGCATTATAAATTTTTTCGAATTTGGAATTTGCGATTGAATTTAATTTAAATTTTTTTTAATGAAAATTTTACTTTAATATGAGAAAGCGATATGAATTAAGCCAAGATTCAAACCCTTACTTGAATTTTTTCTTCAGTGTAATCGTCTTTTGTACAGTTAGCAAAAAATTATTTACATATATTATGACCTTGAGTGCAAAACGGCACGCGTGTCATGAAAATTATGTATGGCAAAGGAACGTCTAACTTAATGAATGCAACTGTAGAACAGATGAATGACGTAGTCAAAGGAACGAGCTAAAGGCAGAAAAATTAATTAAAAAATTTTTCTCCTCGAACTGGACTCGAACCAGTGAGCTACCGCTTTCTAGGCGGACGCTCCACCAACTGAGCTACAGAGGCATGAAGAAATTGCCGACGAAATGTTCTCTACATTACTTTATACTGTAATCCACAATCATTGGTATACTGTTGTGTAGATCCAACAATTGACATAAAAAACTTTGAACAATTAATTATTGTAGCTTAAATAGCTTCGAAACTAGAATGAATATTTGCGACACAGAACTTTTTTCAATCCGGTTTTTAACCCCCCATACGTTTTTTTCCCCAAAGAAGTCCAAGGAATCACAACCCGAGAACCAGAACCGGGCCACCCTGCATAATGTCGAATTTAATAGATATCTAAATAATTACTTTTAATATACTGTTAAATAAATTAAAATTAATCTAAACCATTCCATATTTAAAATTCTAATTCATTTAAATCTTGACTTAACAGATAATTCTACACAATTCACTTAATTTCAATTGAACTGTTAGTTTTCTTGAAGACTCATTAAAATTCTTATATTGATAATCTTTTACTTATTACCATAATTAGTTTATTTAATCGTATTGAGAATTTCAGATTGCATAAATTTTTTGCACATCAGCTTCGTATATACAAACACACAATTTTTGAAAGTGTCTTTCATATTTTATTTTCCGGTCAATAACTTTCAAAGAAAATTATTTTCTCTTTTACTCAAAAACTCAAATATTAACATGATTATTTCAATTAAATATTATTGTATATATGAATAGAAGAATTTTATTTTTATTTTAATTAGGTTATCTATTTAGATTATTAAATGCAATAATTGACTTCAAATAAATTAAAATAAAATATGAGGTTAGAGTGGTGTTTCAATAACTTTTCATTCTAAAATAATAAATTAAGAAAAAAAATGACAGTCTTTTAATAAAATAAATTATCATTTTAAATATTTAAGTGATATTATAGTGGTAATTAAAATAATTAATAATAAATTAGAGCACTATAATAAAATACATTAAATACTTTAAATGGAAAATATAAAATGGCAGTCTAGTGACGCACTAATTCTTCATCTATAACAATCAAATAAAGTTCAACAACTCTCTCATTCTACGGCAGGCTAGTCTCCTACTTAGTTAAAACTCTATGACGCAATGAAACTGAGGCATGACTATCTACGATTTCATGTACTAGCCCTATGCTCTTCCAAGGGGTCAAAAGGAAAAAAAAAACTCTCTCATTCAACTGTGTTTCCTGAGGAAGTATGTTTCATAATTTGCTCCCTAATAACGCTGAAAGAGATAAATATTAATACTGAAAGACGAAGCAAGAACGCCAGACACAAGAGAGAAAAAAAAAGTGTGGAGAATTTTCACATTACTGTCGAGAAAGTGTCTACGCTTGGAGACTTAGCTATATTATTTATAAAATATAATTTCAATGCAATATTTTAATATAACCAATTTAAACTTCAAAAACATTCATGATCTAGCTATTTCATATACCCAACCCTGACAAAATAAAAATAATTTAATTGGCATACTTATTTTATATTTCAAATTCATATTAAATTTTAAAAGAGTTAATCTTACAATTGAATTTTTATATAAAATATAAGGTTATAAGACTTCAATATCACTCCAAGTATAAATAACAGTGAGAGGGAGAGAGAGAGAGAGATGGAGAGCGATATATACTTTCAAATAAGTTTCTTATTTATTATATTTGACTTAACAATAAATAGGAAAAAGCGTCACCATTAATTTTAACTAGAACAAATTAATCTCTTCACTTAAAAAAAAATCGGAGAAAAAAACAAAAAGAGAAAAACTAAAAGAAATGAAAAAAAAATTCTCTATTTTTCTCTTTTCTTTTTTTTACAGTTATCTCTGTGCAATAAAAGATGGCAATTAAGTCAACTGACAACCTAAGAGACCAATTATAATTCTTAACTTTTTGATATCAAGAGAAAAAAAACTAGAGCAAGGCTAAAAAAAAGAACTATGTGTACGTGTATAGTTACAGAGAGGTACTGAGGTAAGGTAAGGCAAGATACCTATAAAAAGTTTAAAAGGTGATAAAGGTTGAATGGAAAAGAGTTAAAAAAAATCTTTTAAAATAAAAATAAAAAAATTTATTAAGTTTCTTTAATTATTCTCTCTCCTCCTACCCATTTAATTTAAATTTTCGTAGTGCTTTCGTTTAATTTTTTTTTAAATAAAATAAAACTTTTGCATTTTTTTTTTTGTATTTTTTTGCTGAGATTATGGTGAACTTTACATCCGTGACACTTTTTGTTTTATATTTTTTTTTTTTTACTAAATTAAAAGTTTTACGCTCCCTTCTGTTTTATTTCATCTCTTTTTTTGTGTCATTAATTTTTTTTTATATTAAAAGCGAAAAAACCAAACAGTAAGAATAATTTTTTTTTTTTTGAGGGAAACCTTCGCTCCCTATATTTCTGCAGTTTTAATTAATTTTAAATGCCTTAAATTAAAATTTTCATTTTATTTTTATGCACCCACACACACACTTTCGATTAAAGAAAGTGAATGTGAATACTGTATTAAATAGATGGAGAGCGGTGAGGTGGGGGCGGGGGGAAGCTTAACTGTACAAAATGTGAATTGATAACAAATTTTCACTTAAATAGTTGGATAAAAATGTTATTCAATTATTAAAAGATAAAAGCATATAAAATACAAGCAAGTTTTAATACTCGAAATTTAAAAAAAAAGGGATGTTCACTATCGTCGCACTTATTGTATGATGAAGTGCAGAGTGAATTGTAGTTGTTACAAAGTTTCTCATCTTAGCTATTGAGAACAACTGATATAGGGCAATTAAAATGTGCCGTTATACACACAAAATTATATTTTATGCGTGATTGCTTCCAACACCAAAACGACAACTCCTATTTCCCAAAATATATAACAAACAAAGCAATATAATCCAAATATGTACAATCAACAGGCATTTAATCTAAAAAGTACAATATTTGTAGCAAAAATCCACTTTGACTCCTAAAAATAGGCAATTTTACAAGAATATGTAAGTGTACGTCAAGGTGAAAATAAAATACGAGCGATTTTTCGCGACGAAACGTGAACATATTTGTAGTGAATATAGTACCGTTGTCGTTCGCCGCTTTGGTTCTATTTTTAAACTTAATGAAATATGACATAGAAAAATGATTAATACGAATAGTGAATTCAAAGTTAATTGGTAAATTCGAATTCGAAATAAATTGGCAGTACAAAAATATAAATGTAATATTTAAGCAAAATTACATAATTTTTTGCAAAAATTGAAATTTCATAAATTTAAATTTACCTCTGGTTTTTGACCTTGTTCAGCATTACATGGTAATTCAATTGTTGTACCGGGAATAGTTTCTAAATCATATGGTCCATCTACAATATGTGGTGGTTTTCCACTTGCTTGTTCAACAATAATATCAGCAATCGATTCAGTTACACCATTAACATTTTCAGCAACACAACTATATTGACCTGCATAAGTTTGGAGAAGAAAAAAAAACATTTTTTTTTGTATGAAAATAAAATGAAAAGTTTTTTTTTTTTTAAAGGATATATATATACGTATATTTTATGTAATAAATGGTCTCATATGAATATGTACATTTGTAATTACAAGTATGTTTGTGTTATGTAATGCATTAGTAAATTAAATTTAATTTTGTGCAGTAAAAAAGGCAAAAGTGGAGAGAAAAACACCACCATTTATACAATAAATTTGAAATCGTACGAAAGAATACACATACGATGAGGTCGGAAAAGTATGCATTATTGTATATTCTAATACAAATACATGTATACTAATGGCTCTAAACACAGGCAGAGACTGTCTGGATTGTAAATTTTTGAAATTTTTTATTACATTAAGTTGACATTGAATTAGTTTTTCTATCGACCGCCCAATCTGTATTTTTGTAAAACCAAGGTAACAACGAAACACAACTACATATTAGGGTTTATTGAGCCCCACCCTACTCTGAGTGCAAGGTGTGCTCTACAACACCCAGTCGAGAAACATCCCTCCTATTGAACTCCGCCGCCATGAAAATAAAGTCCTCCGGTATTTCCTTTCTCCAGCGAACGAGACCACCACACTCTCTCAGAAAATGTACTGTGGCTCCTCATTCTCTCCACAGAATCTGTAGGTATTCCCGCTTTCCAGGTCCAGCTTATAGAGCTGCCTTCTAAATTGGCAGTACCACAGCAAGACCCCGGGATAAGAACTCTTACCTAATTCTTGTCCAATCCCATAATCTTTTTAAAAATTAGTTGCCATACTAAAGTTATTCATTTTTCATACTTTCACACTTAAAATATTGATAAATTTATTATAAAAGCTGCTCAAATTAGACATAGTTCACTGATTAAATTTGAAAAAGTCAATTGTTTTAGAATTTTGAAATATAACTTTTCTGCATTACGATTTTTCGTTTGGGTAGATTTTCAATTGAATCCCAGAACCCTTATTTATATATCAACAACCAGTCTATTATTGACTGATTTCACTAAAATTTCTAATTCCGAGAAACAATTTTATCAAAATCCAATATTAAATTTCAATTTTATATTTTTCTTATGAAAGTTTTTGGGGGATCAAATATGAAAATTTTAATTTCATTTGTGTGTTGGATATTAAAATATTGAAAAAAGCATTACAAATACACTCATATGAGTTATATAAAAATTTTACGTCAAACAAATAATAAAATATTCACTATACTTGTACGAAAATATAACAGAATTAAATGAGCTCAATTTTTAACGACCGCTTTGCATTAAAGTGAAGGAAGTATTGTGATCGCATCATATACTATATGTCGAATTTTCGAGGTAAACGCATTCCTCCACATTAAACGAAAATGTAAAAAAAAAATATATTTTTTTTAGTGAGATGTCGGGTTGTTCCGTTTATTTGTATCACTTTTGTATCTCATCCTTAGCTGAAGGGATTTTGATGAGACTGGATTTCTAAATATCTTTACTGAATATTGTAGACACCGTCTTCTCTAACACATAGAATTCTACCAATAGAGTTGATATTATTTGGAGTTGATTCGCAATTATGAATCAAATAAAATTACAAATAGAATCAATTGACAAGTGTGTTTCTGCATAAAACTTATATCGAAGGAATTTGAGGGGAATCTTTTTTAATAAAATAGGCCATTCGCGGTGATATTTGACATTAAGGAACTGAATAGCTCGATGACCGTATTAGCGTATGTTTGAAATTTCATACATAATCAGAATTTATGACGTAAATGCAATATGCGGTCGGTCATATGACGTTCACATCGAATTTTTGTTAATCCTGCAGTAAATTTTTCCATTTTTAAAATAAATGTTATGTGTGCACTATTGTATATTTTTATATGAGTATATGAGTGTATTGGTGAGAACATTAAAAATGTAAAGTACTTAAAGATCAAAGTTAAAATTAGTAAATGTTATGGTTTTTATAAAACATTTATAATATTTTGAAATCGTTATTTATTCAGTTATGAAAAAACAAGTTTTTTGACCTAAAATAAATAAAACTAAAATTTTTTACTTTATTTTTTTTGTAATTTTTTCTGATTCTATTTAATTTTAATCTTCTTTGTTTTAGGTATGAAACATGCAATTATGATTTTGTATATGTGCACATACGTACGTATTAATGTGAATTAAATTGTACAAAAGTTAAAATGTTCAAATAAAAAAAAAAAAACAAAAATGGAATATGAAAATTATTGAAATGAAAAAAAAAAATTATCGCAGTATGCATTGACGCATAATAAAGAGCTGGAGAGGACCTTTTCATCCAACCAAATATGTATAAATTAGTGCACAAGCATGTATCTAACAAACGTGTATCTGATTGCTGCAGTACATAGGCTCTTATTGTCAAAAGAAAAAATCAGGACTTCTAGAAAAGCAAATATTTTTCTCTTTGATTTTTGAATATAATCGAAAAATAAATAAATAAATAAAATGGCACTCAATATCGCAGTCTATATACGGCATTTTAAAGACTTTCATATCATGTTCGAGAATCGAGAGGCTTTTTAAGAAATTGGCATTATTTTAACATTTTATTGAAGCTAATTAATAATTAAGTAGATGTGTAGAATATATAATTAGCACTAATGTCTGATTTATAACTGCTTGAATTATAATTGAAAATTTTCATTAAAAAATATTATTAAATCATTTATAGAGTGAGTAGAGAACCACACAGTTGAAGTGTAATTGATATATTGAACACATACAATTGATAGAGGCTCTGATTGCATTAATTTCTTTTCACTGAAAAGAAAAAGTTTATTATAAAATTTTGTTTTATTGAAAAACTCAATGTGATCCAAATTACTCTTAAAATACTCCGATTTTCCGGAGAGGGTGTTTTAATTACGAACTTTACAATTCACGACAATCAATAACGTAATTTAAATCGCTTGCTTCAAACAATCTGTGGCTTATTTCAGTCGACTTATACTTAAAATGTTCAATATGTTAAGATCTTCACAATTTCCTTTTATAATCTCCTAAAGTTGATTGGGTATATTGGAACACATGTCCCAATATTTCGAATGTTATCGCAACTTCTGATGATTCATTTTTTTCTTAAATACCAGATTACACACTGAAGGATTCATACAAAAGTCACTTAATTATACTCGTATATACGCTAATTGAAAGTATTACTCAAAATTAGTACGTCACAAATCACAATTTAGAAATAAAGAAAGAGAATTTATAATAGCATTTCCCTCATAGTCCAAGAGAAAAAGAGAATAAGCTTATTTAGGAAAGAGAGTATGAAATGAATCTGCGGAATAGTTGAGCAAAATTTTACAAATATTATAAGCAAATTCTAAATTTGTAATAGTATATTTAGCTATTTTTATAACTAGAAAAAAATTTCTCCAGTTGGAATTAAAAATATTTTTTGTTTGCCTATTTTTCTTTAATTAATTTTGCATGTTATACTCGCGAGTTAATCATACACGGAGTATGTAATCTCATATTAGAATTTACAGCGTTTTTTAATTAAATAAACATTTTAATAATTAAATAAATTGTGTATGGTTGAAATTTTTAATATTAATTGTAATTTTACAAGAATATAATTTTATTCTTTAAAATACAAAATATAGTGCTGAGAGAACAAAAATTTGTCCACGTACCCCCGCGATAATGGTAAAATTAAAAAACAAAAAATTTCTCACCATCATGCCACAATGGCACTTCTATTGTGAACGTTATCACTAAATCAGATGTATTTATAAACAAATTTGCCATTACCGCCGCCCTTGCCATGCTCCCAGGCTATGATTCTATAATTATACTCTCAGGCAGTCAAATACAATATTCAATATAGCATTTTATGCAGTCAGTATAGCATTTTACTCTCTCATAAAATCCAGTAGAGCGTAAAACTCTTTTCCAGAACTTTATGCTGTTCCAGCAATGCTCTGATTCCGTTTCGTCCTTTTCCGTCCTGTCCAGTATGAATTTATACTTCCCAACAATGTGCATGAATTTGCATAATGAATATTTCAGAAAATATCCAAGACTTTTTAAAAAATTTCCATAACCTTATTATCCTTAATATTTGAAATTAATACTTTGTGCTTTTACGTAATTTCCATTTTTGTTTTTATTCTTTAAAATTATTTTTACAAACTTCGGCCATATTTTTTTCTTTTTTGAAAATAAATCAATGTAGAATGTGTAGTAATAATTTTAAAATTGCATACAAAGTTAATCCTTCGTTGTTACTGCATAAGTTAAAGTTACTGATCCTGATAAAGTAGAAATGCAAGGAGAAAAAAAATGTAATTTTGTTCGAAAAAGTTTCTCCCGTAAAACTAAAACTTTTTGCTAGAGAAAATTAATTTTTTTCTTCTTTTGTATTTTGCAACATTTTAAAATGAGCGTTTGTAAAGGTGAATAAAAAAATAATTTGAAAGTTTGTTGTTATACTAGACTTGTAGATTATAAACTGGACTCATAGTCGAATATAATTTAGTTGGAAACAAACTTTAATTTATAAATTTTTGTTTTACCTAGAAAAAAACGGGCTGAAGTTCACCGTACCCAGTAGATCTTTGCGTCTAGAAAATTTTTGAAATGCTCAACCACCAAAATTCTTATTTTATGTATTTTCTCTTGAATTTTTTTTCTAATTCCCCTATTCTCTCTTCATAAATTTTTACGGATCACTTGTATGCAAATGAAAGAAAGCTTTGATTTAGGCAACTTTCATTTATTAAAAACTTTCGAACTTGAAGTGTACCTAGACGTCAGATTATTTAAATAGAAACAAATTTTGAGAAAGAACTTTTGCAATTAAGAAATTTTCAACCCAAATTTGTTTCTATTTATTCAAACTATACCCTTCCAACTAGCATGAATATTTAGGTACTACTGAAATATTACATTCACATTTTAAACAAATAATACGCAATGAATAAATTAAAGTGAATTAA